GAACGGTGTTGAAACTAAGACCAGAACTTGGATCATGTATGACTATCAACTACCTACCGACCTACACATGCCTACACAAGGGACAGATGAGGACCACCATTAAGAATCACGACCAAAAATGTTGACAAATACGACACGGAAGTAAAGTATATATGTATTTATATCGCTCCAGGTGAGCCTTTCATGCAGAATGAAAAGACAAATTACTAAATTTAAAATATTTTGATATGTGTTTCCAAATTTTCAACTAAAATTAAGACAAAATTTTCCCACATTCTTGACACTTTGTAAAAAATTTCACCCTTTGTAAAAAATGTAACTTCTGAACCTGTCCTTGTCGAGCTCATCTTGTATGTCATCAAATAGGCAGAGGCAATAATAGCCAACATATTTAGTTTATGTTTTCTGCGTATAATTGGGCTGTCACAATTTGATCAGATATAAAATGTGGTAGAAATATTAAGAAGTATGAATCTAGCGCAAAAAAGAAATTAGCAAAATATCCTGTCTACGTAAAGAGATACAGTAGACAGCATATATCTGCATACCCCAAAATTTTTGCCTTATCTTCCAAATTGGTGGACATGGACATTTGAAATTTTGCAGGTTAGTAGAATAGAAAGATTTAGGAGGAATGCCGGTCCCATTTTCGAAATATGTGAAAAAGATCAAAGGTCATAATTTTTTCAAAAAAAGCTCATTTTCAACTACCACAAACAATTTTTTTCCTTGGTGGTTTTATTTTTATATCGAAAGTAGACGTAATTCTGAAAAGTTTGACATGTCGTACACCTCCGTGCGATTTTTGTAATGCCCACAGTAATTCGGTGAAAAGTGCAGTTTTGAGATTTTGCCCCATAAGCGCAATGTTATAACTTTTCAAAACTGCACTTTTCACCGAATTACTGTGGGCGTTACAAAAATCGCACGGAGGTGTACGACATGTCAAACTTTTCAGAATTACGTCTACTTTCGATATAAAAATAAAACCACCAAGGAAAAAAATTGTTTGTGGTAGTTGAAACGTGAGCTTTTTTTGAAAAGATAAAGAAAAAGATTTGGAAGATAAGGCAAAAATTTTCGGGTATGCAGATATATGCTGTCTACTGTATCTTAAAAATGTGGATTCGGGCGGATTTATGTCATGGTGGAGATAGTTTTGTTTTCTATCGGTGACAAAAGAATGTAGATTGATATTTTGATGCATATCTACATCAAATGTCTAATTCTAAATTTTGTGACACTAACGTAAAAGTACAACTGTTCCCGTCCAAATGTGTAAAAATTACTATGTATGCATGAATAGACTTCCAACAATTTGCCAAGAACCATATCATGCAGACCATGTTGTGTCCAGACTGTATGAAATGTATGTAACTATTATAAGATGCATAACCATCAAGGAGGTACAGAACCAGATTGAAAAGCGAATATTTTTTATGGAAATTTGAAACACAAATGCGTATTTAATACTGATACTTTTTTAAGCCATGACATTGATTTCATTTAATAATTTAAACAAAAAAAAATGTTGCTACTAAATATGTAGGTACATATGAAGGTTTTTTCACCCCCTAACTAAAAATTCCTACGTATAGGTGCGTATCTTAAATAATTGATAATCTTAACTTCTTAACTTTAACAGGTTCCAATATTTGATGGTATCCATTGTCTGATTGTTCTCCATGTTCCTGCATGATTGTCCTGTTGGTGTATGTAGAATCTAGGCGTATTTGTACATGTAGTTATTGATGTAATAATCTTGATTTTGAAGATTCCCCATGTTGCCAATTCAAATCTGAAATATGTAAAATACGACTAATTAAAACAGATTTGTCATTATTACGCGTGTACTAAAACATATGTACGTTCATATCTACATAAATAAATTACATAAGTTTTTATACCTGCAAATAATTTACTAACGGAATCACGTTAAACTTGAATGATTAGAATAAAAATAATCATCGTGGACTCGTTAAAAATAATGGTGGAATTCGTTGCACATTTTATTGCCCACAATTATCTAATAACTCAAGTAAGAATAATTTTGTTTGAATCAGAAAATTAGTTCGGAATTCTGTCTTACGTTTTGCTACTTGTGTACATACATAACTAAATATTTAGTTGTTAGGTTGGAAAAATATGGGCCTTATATAACAATCCCATTCCTCTCCATGCAAACTTTCAGTTACCAGATTGAAATAATCCACTAAATAAATATGTAATAAAATAAATATCTACATATGTATGGGTCAAAATATATGTACATACATACGTTAATAATTACATACATACATATGTATTTTTCTTACCGATTTAAATTTTATGTGTTTATCCATATTGATTTATTTCCAGCTATTCGTGGGAATTTCAACTTATGCAGAACTCGCAAAAATCGCACCACTAATGCTACACACACAATACATAAGATCACTTAAACTGAAATTGAAACGTGACGATGTTCAGACTCTATGGTAAAGATGTGATCTAATTTTTGGAGTACATATGCATCTATGGCTATCCACAGCGATGCATTATCACTCATGTGGAAAGGATGGGATGAACATTTCAGAAAAAGTAGAATGCGAAAAGTTTAATGCATAGTTACATACAACACTGACCAACAATTACATGCACAATCATTGGACCGAGTGAAAGACTGGGTAAATTTTTTTGGATGAGGGTCAGTGCGTGAAGAATGTGGGTGAAGATTGGCTTATGTGTTAAGGCAAATATTGGTATAGGATGCATGCACATATATGTAAATATGTAAATATATAAATGGTTAATGTGATAAATAAGTACAACTCCCTCAAAGTAATGACGTCCCTTATGCACTAGGTATGCTGTAGGCTTTGCTGATTCATGTCAGTGAAAAATGCATATGGTCATCTTCAACGGAGATGAAAATATATAAATATCAAAGATGTTTTGCAGGGGATTCGGAAAATACATATGAATATGCGCCCAGGTGTGTTTTTAATTATGTTTATTATCAAGTAAATCGAATAAATATGTGTTTATCATGATATGTACATACATTCATATTTATGTAAGTAACGGAGATATATGTATATACAGACAGAATTTTGATTAAGCATGAGATGAACTTTTCTAGAAGTTGAATGTTATTTTCACAGTTGCTTTAAGAAATAGAATACGGTGGGGTTTCATACGTATGCAACATTGATAAACATGTATGTATGTATGTATATATGTATGTAAATACGCATGTATTTACATATGCAGTATGTACATAAGTACAAAAGTATGTGCATATTTATGTATGTACATAAGTATTTGCATGTGACTATAGTTACACAATATTGAAGTAGAAAGATGTGCACATTTTGTACTTATTTAATCATGTTTGTCACATCATTACATATGTATAGAGTGTGGACGCAAATTATCTCCCCCTTTAATCGTTGTACTTTTTATGAGCTCCCAGAGACACGGTTATTAACGTATTCGAAATGTTTTATTTTTTTTGAAATACCTTAATATGATGTGTGTCCACCAGCATTATTCATCATTTCCTCCACTCTTGTCTTGAAGCTTTGGGCGAGGTTTTGTAAAAGCGAAACCGGAAGTGAATCTCAAGTTTCCTCGAATCGACCCTGTAATTCCTGTCTTGTTCTAGGATGAGCCTCGTCATATGCAGCCTCCTTTAGCATACCCCTCTAGGTTCTCAAGCGTGTTGAGGTTGGGGAGTTTGCTGGCCACACCTCCATTCTTCAGACGGTTGAAAATACCTCCTCCAGGAGCTTCATTGTTGACTTTGCGGTGTGTGCCGGAGCTCCATCTTGCTGGAAAACACTATTCCTATTACTGGAAAATATGCTGCTGTCCATGGCCTTGAAGTATACAGGAATAATTGTATTTTGATAATAGGCAGCATTAACTTTTTGACCCTGTGGTACGAAGTGTAGCTCTGAGACGCCGCCAGCACAAAAGCCACCTGCTACCATGATTTTGAGGTCGTGTTTCGGCCTTAAAATAGGTGGGACATCCTTCCTCTCTTTGGTCCTATATCTCATATTTTGTGGGTTAAACTGTCCATGCAATTCAATCCAACTCTCATCAGTGAAAAGGATGTTTGACCTTAATTTTTCACCACGTTTCCCAGAGGTCAAAAACCCACATTTTTCGACAAGTTCTCCAAATTTTAGCCGGTCTGCAATATTCTTCTGACTTAGAAGTGTTTTCTTTTGACTCCGGTATGCCTTCTTCCCCCAGCTCGTCGTTTTGAGGTATTTCTGAACAGTGGTTTTCGAAATATGCTTATCCTTCTTCTGGTAGCGTGGAGTGAAGTTTAGGATTCTTGTAGTTTTTGTGATGGAACTACCAAATTTCCGGTACATTTTTTATTTTATTTGGCGTTTTGTGGTAGGGGAGAGTACTGTCGGTCTTCCTGTGTGTTTTTTGTCCTGAAAATATTTTTTGTCTCTCCACAATCTCACCGTCTTTGGGGACACTTTCAATTTTTCACATATTTGTTTAACCCGATACCCTTCGCTGTATAATGTTTGGATTTGGATTCTTTTTTGTTCACGGGAAGGCTAAACCTTCGGGCCCATAGTGCAAAAAAAAAATTTCGAAAAAACCAACAGATGCGAATGCTACAGCCGGATTATTAGACAAAAATCGCGCGCGAGGGAAAGGGGGAGATAATTTGCGTCCACACCGTATATGCATGTACGAACCAGTTTGATGCGTTAAACAGTTGCATTAAAGTTACCCTGCAGAGGCGAAGGACACCCTATCGTTCAAAAATTGTTTGTCAATTAAATATGTGGAATTATGAAATTCCCGTATAAAAATAACGCTTTATTTGGATAAGGCTCTAGTGTGGTGAAATGTTATGCATACAATGTCCATAGTACAAAACTTTCCCCGGGTGACGAATATCTCCGGGAAAAGGAGCACAATTCCGGACGGATGAAAGTAAAATTGTATCACAAAAAGGAATCATGTGGAATCACTCTGCAGCTAAATCTCCCTTGTTTCTACAGCTTATTATAATACTTAAACTTTAAATATTCAGACAATGGAGATTTACTTACCAAAAATTGACATTTTACGACGACGAACTCAAAATGATGGGAATAATTCATCAATTTCTTCTCTCTTTAATAATTCCTTGGTGAGTTCGTTATTTAATTATAAGTTAAAATTAAGACGAAATGAACAATTTATTTTATTTTTTTCCGTTCAGGTTTTACGTAAAATTTTTAGCTTCCTGGACTTCATTACAAGGAAAAATATTCGTCTTGTTTGTAAACATTGGGCGTTTGAAGTTGCAAAACAGTTTTCCGGCAAAATTTCCTTGTCCATTGAAGCAAATAAAATAAAAAATGATCCGACACTGGAAAAATTGGCGTCATTTCTGTCCCATCACAACATCCGCCATACCCTGAAGCTCATCATCGTACGAAACGAGGGGTAATCAATAAATGATTTACATGAAATTTCTAATATGGCACCATACACATATTTAGAATTTTCCTAAAACCATGATTTTTTATACATACAGCAATTATGAACACCAACACAAAGATTTGTTCAAATATCTGGAAATCACAAGGACTTTGGTGGTGGAGCTAGTGCTGAATTTATACATTGGAACGGAAAAGGATGCAGACTTGCTGATTAAAATAGTCCATCCACTTATCCAGCTGAACACACTTTGTCTACATTTGCAGTCCCATGAAGGTGTAACTCTACCCGTAATTAATTCACCTGTTCCGTTTTATTCTGTAAAAAATCTGGCTCTCAGCGTAGAAAAACCGGTAAGATTAGGTTTGGGACTGTATTCTTAATTCTCAGAGAGTTGAGCCTTGAGAGGAATTTTGAATTTTGAACACTTGTTGGTCAGAGTTTCTCCCATCGGAATAATTTATTGAGTCATTCTCAAACTTTTATTATGGCTCAACTCATTGCGAATGCAGAATATATACAAACTTTTCAATTTCTGAAAACTATAAATATTTTGCATTGACAGCAAGTTACTGTTCAAGACTGTAAAATCCGTTTCGCAAAATGGATCCAAGCCTTATTCCGAAACTTTCCGTCCGTGACCGACGCGGATTTGACTAATCGGGTATCTCTCCAGGGAAAAATGATACGGCAGCATCGATACCTTCAAGAATGTTTTTTGGAAGCACTTGTAACTGAAAATTCGAATCATCCCATTAAATTGACCGGAATCAAGTTGGATTTAAGATGCCGACCAAATTCTGAGTGGAATTTAATTTCTGCGATCCCACAAAGCCTTAAGAGAATTATAGTTTGGGTTGGTGCGGATTTAGAGAAGACGGGAAGGTTCTTAACTCAACATTCCTCCACATTGAAAGAACTGCACGTTTTGTTCGTGCAATTTGCTGGACTCCCGCCACTTTTGGAGAATCCGTATCGACTTCTTCCTAATTTGTGCTTGCCGCAGTTGACGACGTTAAGGTTTGACTCATACTACAAGGTGGACAATCTTAGGGGAGAACGTCCCGGTAGAATGGATTTGCTAGGATTGAGGGAGATCTTCTTGGTATAAAATTATAAAACTCTGGGCTTTTAATGAAGGATAGAGTAGACGCACTCATGATGTGTTGATGCATGAATTTTGTTGTTTTTTACAGAATGGATCATCCGCATTTGAAGCGGCTTTTCCAGCCTTAACGTCCCTCACTATCGTATTCTTCACCGAGTTTAGCGAAGAATGCTGGGATTATATATTTCCGGACGAAGACAAATTTGGAATTCCACTGGAAATAAGACAACTAAAGATTTTAAGTATAACCATGGCAACTGATTGTGATTCCTCACTTATCGTAAGGTTGAGGAGGATATTTCCTTCGTTGATATCATTGCGACACACAAAATTGGAATTTATTCCCACACAATTTCAGTGGGATGATAAACTCCCAGAATTTACAGAACTACCCTGCGTGAGATCGTGTCGACAGGTATGGCAAGCGTGGCCATTAGTTGGTTGTTTGTGGTGTTTTCTTATAGGATGTGCTCGTTTACTGACGTGTTGTTGCTGCTGTGAACGATGTTGTAACTGTGAATATCAAGCTTCACCCGTTGAAATTGTTGACCCACCCATCGCAACTTTGCGTGGATGCGAGCATAATTTTCGTGTTGGCGAGAAAAGGTTGCCTTTTCCGGCGTCAGACTTTCTTCGGCCGTTACCGTGCATATTTTTTGAGGAGAAACAACTTCACTGGTCGAATAGTTATCACGCCGCAGTTCGTCCAATTTGGGAATAATATATACATCATGAAATTTCAGTTTTAATTAAACCACAAGTTTACGAGGATAATGTTGAGCTCTATATTCGCATTTATGTGGGTCACAAAAATTTTGATAATTCGTTCACATCCGTAAATCACCCTCTGTATTGTGCGCTTAAGAATATTCTGTACCTAGAAATATTTTATAAGATTCAACAACACGTTTATGTATTTATTTATCTGTAGTTTGTGTTTGTTTCCTAATTTCACCGTAAGGTTTATCCTGCGTGATAAGCATAAAATCACAAAGTTCTAAATATGTACATACATTGTTGACGAAATTTATTGGGTTACATATAAATAAAAAAAAATCGTACACTTATTTATGCGCAGTTTGTATAGATAAGTAGTCACATTTGTCAATTGAACACAACTTTATTTCCCGGTTTAAATAAAGTATGATGCTTGTATTCGGCTAAGCAGTATTTTTCATGCTCCTCCTTGACCACTATTGGTGTTGCAATGGTGTTATCCATTTTGAGTTATATGTCATGTATATGGTGTGCTACCTCGGCAAAATACTTAAAAATTGCAGAAAAAGTTATTAGGAGTCTTGCTAGGTTGGTATTAAAATTAAGAAAATATGACCCAGTTACCGATTTAATTAATTCTGATTTGAAATGGTTGTTTCCATAGGTCGGAGTACTCCGGCCTCCGGAGTACGTACTCCGTACTCCGGAGTACGCGAGATTTGCCGGAGTACGGAGTACTCGGAGCACAATTCTGGACGGATGAAAGTAAAATTGGTATCAATAAAAAAAATCAATATCAGTCTCTGTCAGAGCAGAGTGATTTCTTATCACTTGAAATATTTATTTTAAACATCATTTTATTTATATATTTTATTTATATATACTATAAGAATACACAATACGTGACGTGAGATGATTTTTGTCAGTTTTTAATGGTATCTCATTTATAATGATTTCATGTAAATATTAATTCATTAATTTTATTTAGGAATAAGAAATACAAAATTTTGCCCAAACCAGTGGCAATAAAATTGCTGGAAATGCCACGTGAAATCTGCATTTATAAATCCTATTTATCCATGCCACTACCAATTTAAGTCCATCTATATTTTGAGGATTTGTTGATCTGAAGGCATAGCAGACAACAATTGTGTTTACATAATGAATGAAAAAATTCAATAGCAAACACAAGGTAAGCTCCTAAGAAGGTCCCCCCGCAAAGGATGAATAGCGTAATAATTGCTCCATTTAACTGCACAGCTTGCGCCAATTTTTCAGCTTGAAACTTTTTGCGTGGCTCACGGTGCACATATTTTCGTCGCAAGGTTTCCTTCCCTAATCTATGATATATCCCATTTTCAATCAAACATTTAAAATATTTAGGTACTTTGGACATCCCCCCAAAATAATCAAATTTCCACACATAATTTTCAGCTCGTAGGATTTCTTTCCCTTCATAAAATTTTTTGGACGAATAATGACGATTAAGAAATAAAAGTTCGGCTTCCATAATGTCCGATTTCGTAATAAAGACAGATTTCCCGCAATCAACTAACTCCTCTTCGATACTGATTTGGACCTGACGATATGTCTGATTGTTGTCTAAATAGTTAAAAGTTTTGGGATGATGGATGTGCCTCGGGTCCAGTAAACTTACCAACTGAATTGTACGATTGGTGATTAAACTGATCTTCCTCTCGAATATTAGTTTGTCCCAGGCATGATCGAATAAGTATTCCATGAACTCTGGAAATTCTGAGTGTCTCAAAGTATACTCAGGGAGCAATGACAAAAGGCGGAAACACTTTGTTGTTGAGGCGAAATTTCTGCCGCGTTCACGAATATATTGAGCCCAATAATTGTACCTGTTTTTGATATTCCTTATACGGAAGACATAGAGAACTCTAAAATACCATTCTATGTGTATAACCGCGTTCCTGGATGAGGTTTCTGGTTGAGTAATTACCAATGGATAATTCAAGTCTCTCAAAGAACCTAAGGAATGTACATAGTTTACAAGCCGTGTGGATAGTTTTGATACATCACTATATTCTAACTTTTCACATATAAGGTGGTCAAATAAGGTTGGTCGAAAGGCACCCAATGGTGCGTTAAGTTCTGATATCATAATGCCATTGTAGCAATTGGTCAGTATCACCGAGACCAGACACCACGAACCGAGAATGAGACGAAAAAACGAGTTTATCTCAATCTTAGTGGGTATATGACATTCTTCGAAAATGGAGGATAGAATGAACAACCAAGGGGAAAATGAGAGAGTGCGCAATTCACCATAATGTTTGTAGATTGATGTGACTACCACTATTGAGATGAGTGAGATTATCAACGACATCCACAACATTGGCTTAAATGGTGTAATGTAGAATTTAAATGTGATATACTCGTCTCGGTAACATGATATAAATTGGTACCCTGAAGTCTTAGTTGCTACCATGGTAGACATGTCGAGCATATCTCCGGGCTTTGAATCAATTTCAAGCCTGAAATAATTATACAGAGGGATGATTAAGCAAGTGGAAACGAATTCAGATTAAGATATTTTTGAAATGGGCGGGAATTTGAATTTGAAATTCAGAGTAGTGGTAGCCAACACGATTAAAATTGTGTTTGTGAAATTTGGATTAAATATTTCAAAAAATGCCTCCCCCAGCGACCCAAGAGCTAGAGACTATCATAAAAACACTTTCCAAACTCCTTGCATGGTAGATGGGCGCCGCAGAAAACATTTTTGTTTTAGGTAGCCAAAACCGAAAAAGTCCAATGGACTTGCATCTGGGGACTTGATAGGTATTTCACTATTAGAAATAATTTTTATACCGAGTCTTTCGTGTAGGTCCTTCGCATAATCCTGTGTCAAACGTGCGGTGTGTGAGGAAGCGGCGTCGTGATGGACTACGACCTTGTTGGTGTCCTTGCCGTACAGTTTGGGAATTTGAATTTCCAAAAGGGGTTTCAAAACAAAGTCGATATAGTACCTTGCATTTATTTTCACTTTTTGAGGAACTTTTATTAGTGGGAGGACCCCACGCCCACATAATGCACCAACAACCATAAACTTTTTGCAAAAGTTTTCCTTGCGTTGGAAGGGCCACTTTGAGGGATTTTTTTGAGTGACTAAATCGTAGTAAATTTTTCTTTTCCCATTTGTATCTTGTAGGGAAAATAGTGCTTCGTCAAGGGTGACAACGAATTCACTTTTTCCTTTCGTCAGGTAATTAGAATAAAAATTTTTGCAAGTGCGGCGACGATTTTTTTTGTGCTTCTCAGTCAGCTGATGGACACGGGCCTTCTTCCGGATCCTTTTTTTCAATATTTTCAAAGCGACCTGAACTGATCCCCTAGACACTTTCGCTGCACGGGCAATCTGATTTTGAGTGGGTGGGTTCTCTTTAGAGGTCAAAAGGTCAATTTTTCTGAGGACGGCCGAAGTTACCACTTTTCGACGACATTTTCGAGGGGGTGGTTGTAGTCCAGCGGCAAGTGATTCACGCCTAATTCCTTTTGTGTTTAATACTTTATTGATCAATCGTTTACTTATTGAGAATCCCTGACCTTTGACCTCTTTCACTATCATGCTATAGGAATAACCAAGTTTGGAAAGTGTTTTTATGATAGTCTCTAGCTCTTGGGTCGCTGGGGGAGGCATTTTTTGAAATATTTAATCCAATTTTCACAAACACAATTTTAATCGTGTTGGCTACCACTACTCTGAATTTCAAATTCAAATTCCCGCCCATTTCAAAAATATCTTAATCTGAATTCGTTTCCACTTGCTTAATCATCCCTGTAACTACAGGACTTTTCAAGAACTAGGGTCTCGTTGGTGACGAAAAATATTATTTTTAGAGCGCTTTCAAATTGCGTGTCTGTAGCCATTGGATGAAATGGGTTTGAGTCCTTTAGTTTATTATAATGAAACTTGAGTGCAACTTGATTAATTCCTTGTTCCAAGCACCATCCAGGCAAAATCGATTCAAGATTTGTTATAAAATAAAAATTGTTCTTTTTCTGATTAGTTTTTCGGGAATTACCTCCACCATTACATGATAAATTTTCCCCCAAGTTATATATAATTGGACTTTCGGGGTACGTTTTAGGTAACCATGTGCAAATTTCGATTTTCTTTTTCTCAAGCGAAATGAAAAGCACGGAAATTTTATATGGAGTAAAATTGTGAGTAAAATAGACAGTTCCAAGATTATTTCTGTAAGTTTCTAGAGTAATGAATGCAATTACAATTTTGTCCAGGCGTGCATATTTTAGAAATTCCGAATTTCCTACCACACTGGACAGAAAAAATTCGAACTGAAATTGGCCATACATTGCGCTAAATATCCAGCCGTCTAAATTCAGATTCGTCTTTAAACTTATACCGTTAGGGTCAACGTAAGGGGTAGAGATTATGAATGCTAATTTGCAATGTGACGCCGCACGCGATTTCGTTTCACCGATTCGCTGATATTCGTAATCTTTAAATATGAATTCGGACATTTTAATAATTTTGGATGGGAAATTTACGTTCGACCAATCTATATTACTGTGTAGTCCATCATGTAGTATTTTGATATCGCAGGTAACGATGTTTTCAACGAGATTGTTGAATAGGGGAAACATGTCAGCCTGTGATACAGTGCCAGATATAGATTGGACATGACAAATGTATGTCAGGACGGCAATGATACAAACGAAGCGCTGCATTTTATGTGGTTTTAAATATTTTATAGAGTTTCTTAACCAAGTCCGTTCTCAGATTTTTATTCGGACAACATAACTTCAGAGAAAACGTAGCAAAAGGGAACAAACGTTGGGTTGGACTTGAAGTTGACACAGGTTTAATAATAAATATGTTTACATAAGCTCCGTGAGCTTTTCTGTGGAACTAAACAACAGAAAATACTTACAAATGTTCACATGCACATACATACATAAATCATTTATGATAAATGTATGAATTTCGAATGCCCACCAGGGGTAGGCAAGATACTTCGTTAAGATACAAGATACAAGATAGTATCTTTATCTTGTATCTTGACCACCTTATCTTATTTTAGAAAAGTATCTTTTATCTTTTATCTTGTTGCAGATGAAAAGTATCGTCTGTAACTATCTTATCTACATGAAGCCCGACAGAAATGTATTTTAAGATTCTTTACAAGATACAAGATACTTTTTTCAAAAATGTGTGAAAATTGTTGAATTTATCGAATTTATTCGATAAATTAAGTCTTTTTCTCACGACGACCAATGATCAGCCAAGTTAAAGTAATGTTATCTACCAAGAATTTTGCATTGGCTATTGAATAAGAACATATAATTGATATATATGTGTGCACACGTGGACATAATACCATTATTTTGCAAACATAATACAAATGCATATGTGTGTACATATTATGTACATATGTACATACAAAATTTGAATTAAAAATAATAGTTGACAATTTATGCAAAAATATTGCATAATACTACACAGGTCCACAATCTAAGGGTAGGATGTGGCAAAAAGCATTATGCACTCCTCAAGTATATCTATGCAAATATAGGTAGTCGAAATTTTTTGAATTGTTTGATACAAAAAATTTGAAAAGTTTTAACTGTGATTAGTAAATATTTTGAATTTTGCATTCGAATTGCATTAAATTTATTTGCTGGGTTCGATTTTTCCACCTTACAAGTTGAAAACAGGGTATTCCGACCCCGGGTTTTACTGGGTTGGGGTTTTGGGGTTTTACTGGGTTTTACTGGGTCGTAAATGAGTAAAACCCAGCGGGTTTTACTATGTTATAGGGGTTTTACTTGGGTTTTACTGGGTTTTACTCGGGTTTTATTGGGTTTTACTTAAAATTTGTATAGATAAATCAAGAGATTCAATTTGCAAGTTCATATATACCTTTAATTTAGTCCTATGATCAGTATTTCGATATTTCCTTTGGACTTTTCTTTATGAGCTAAAATTCTCAATCTTCAGCGTAACCTCGAGTTTAATCATATTAGTGTCGTTCGGGTGTTCCTGACGGTTTGGATTGAATTTTCAGGGTAAATCTTGATAGAATACATTAATTTAACAAATTAATGTATTCTATTCATTAATTTTACAAATTAATGTAACATTGTTACTTTTACTAGTTTACCCCAAACATTGAGTAAAACTCAGTAAAACCCAGTAAAACCCGTAAAACCCCAAAAACCCAGTAAAACCCCGGGGTAGTGGTTTTGAAGGTAAAACCCCGGGTTTTTCCTAACCCTGGTTGAAAAACTGAAAGTATCTTGTTAACTATTAAAAGTATATTAAGAGACATATCTTGTATCTTAACTACTTCATCTGGAGAGAAGTATCCTGTATCTTTTATCTTTTGTACGTGAAGAAGTATCTTATATCTTGTATCTTTTATCTCGTCGGACAAAATATCTTCATTTTGTATCTTGTATCTTACAAAGTATCTTGCCTACCCCTGATGTCCACTACATATATACAATTGTTTAACTAGGCTATAGCCCGTGTAGAACACGGGATGCATTTTATCATGAATAAGATCATGATTACCTGCCGGCTCAGATCGGATTAGATCACGATCAGATGAATAGTTGGGAAATGAGAGATACAATGTGAAATGTATTGGAACAATATAGGGAAAATACACGACATGGATGGATGCTTGGGCGACTACTCTGTAATCGATCAGATTAGATCGGGAGGATGGAAGGTTGACTGTTCTGCAATCCTATGTATCAGTTCAAGATCAGATCGCGTTTGCACCATGATAAGATTGCACCTATGGATCTAACAGCCAAAAATAACTGACTTTGCTATTCTTTTAGAGTATTCGAGTTGAGCTTCACTAAGCGTCGAATTAAACTTGACCGGTTGTCAAAGTGCTAGATGATGTAGATGTAAGATATAGATGATGTCACGTAACTAGGGTACTATGCTTTACCGATGTTCACATTTCGACATGTATCCGCGAACTAAGACAAAACCTAATACAAAATCAGCCAGCACATGCCCTCTGTGGGTTCGCTGTACTTCGCCTACCATGAAAACTATCCAAGCGTCGCACCCGGTGGCCAGAACTCGCCAAAGTTTGGCTATGTCGTGCTACAGATCGGGGGGATGAAGGGGGATGATAACTTAATGGTCCATTGACTAAAACTTAACCAACTCTGCTGCACCAATGATTCTAATGTAAAACTCGCTTCTTTCAAGACCAATCTCTTTCTTCTCAATTTGTTCTCCAACAAGCAATTATCATTCAAAATAATTAACCCAAAGCAATTATCCCAAAAAACTATTCCCATTACTTTTAAACAATTAATTTCCGCGAACCCCACTTCCTTCGTGCCTCACTTGGTATGCGCTACTCAGATGGACAGACTGACAGACAGAGGGCTAGTCTTACATAGGATATCACGTTATTCACAAATTAGGTACGTATAAACTGCTTACAATGAGCGATACGTATACATATATTAATTATCCATCGCCTCATAGATGACAGTTCAGTAGACGCTTCGTCCAGCCTTCTAGCCTTCGTTTAGAGACATTTTTGCCCTAGCGTGAGGCACGAATCTATTTGATTTTGCTGGGTGGTCACGCATGCTACGAAATTCATACCTAAAGCTGGCATGTACGTATGTAGATACGAAGTATACTTATTTTCTATGCAAACAAATTGTCTACTTTTTTTATTATTTTTCTGTTTTGTAGCATGGGCAGTATTGGTCCTTTTTTGGATATATGTAGCTATATACATACATATTATTTTGATTAGTTCAAATGGTTTGGCTGCACAATACCTAGCATGCCTTTTTCACTAGCGAAACTAAAATTTTGGGGCCGGTATGCCAACTTCGTCGGGGGCCCCTTATGATTTATACAAATTAGTAGCTTATGTTTTAATGTGCACAAATGTAAAAAGCTGTTCCTCTGTTTTCCCACTTGCATCATTTTTCCTACTTGCTTGTTTGTTTGTTTGCTTACCCATTTTATAGCCTATTTCCACTGTTCAGTACATTTAAGACTGGTCTTCCACAGGAGGCTTATGGCACCCAGACATAGAACGGACTCTGTGGGGGCTCACTCCACTGCATAGTGGATTCGTTCCACCAGGTTCACCTGGCAGGGAGCGAGCACCTACCCCGTACATACACCGAGCCGAGTAGGATTAGCAAAATTTCCCGGCCATAGATGGAATCGAACGTCTACCTGCGTGGTGACAGGCAAACCCCCAACCCACTAGGCCACAGGGCTTAGCTTAGCTTGTAAGCAATATATATGAATTTGCATATATATGGTGCCCCTCAGATAATTTAAGATTAATACCAATATCAAAAAACAGTGCCTTAATTGCGGAACGTTAGATGGAAGGCTCGGGAATACACTTGGGATTAGAAGTATTTGGGCAAGGTGAACTTCAAAATGCAAAATGCAGTGGAAAATAATTACATGAATAGGCAGGAATGGGTTAATTTTATGCAAATTTTAGTTATCTAACTAGATATACTCGTGACCTGTCGTCTGGACCTAGCTATCCCACTATGGTTTTTAAAATCTACTTAGGTTCCATATGAAGGATCAAAATGATCACAAAAATCGCAGTTTTAGGAAATAATTGAAAACCGAAAATTTTCAATTTTTTAATGATTTTTCTTTTCTCGCCCAACTCCTTGATCGGAAAATTTTAGAAATTTTTAGAAATTTTTTTATAGAAATTTCTAAAAAAAAAAATAAGTTTTTGCTCTCGTATTAAAATCAGTGATCATTTTTGTGCTAAAATTTTGAAAATCCATCAGGAATATCAAAAATTATGGCGATTTCAAAAGAAAAAACACGCAAATTTGGCGCCATGCCTCGGCGCCAAATATGGGTTTCACAGGGAAAATTGGATCCTTTATTTGGGACCTAAGTAGATTCTAAAAAACATAGTGGGATAGCTAGGTCCACACGACAGGTCGCGAGTATACCTAGTAAGTGAGTGACTAAAACTGACCTTTTCCAAAACCCAAACTTGGATTTATAAAATCATAAAAACAAAAAAAATATTGCAGTTTCGGTACATTTCCTAGATAATTTCCTAGATTTGGTTTCGTAACTGAACGCGCGAATACTTTTTAATTAAAGTACTTAGAGCACACGTTATTGCTATACTCTCCCTGTATACATTATGTGTCTAAAATCCAAAAGGTTGTGTTTGTCAGGGATCTTTCGAATTTTGAATTTCCTTTCACCTTCTGTTTCATACCATGCGAAAGCTAACCCTATTCAAACCAGATCTTTTTATGAAGACCAGAGCTTCATACATCCACTCTTCAGAACAACTTTTGGTGTGGCACTTGAGCGGATACGAAATTTTTGCTTTTACAGGCAGAAAACGAGTTCTCCAGTTTTTGATTCGAGCATCACCCCTATTCGCCAACTTACCTAGCTCAAAATCGTCTATTTTACACATCCATAATTGATGTATGTATCAGAGTATATATAGTGGTCATAAAAATATCTGGGTTGAACCTGGTTTGAGCTGGCATTAGTAGTACATGCAATGTGCAACAAGCACCGGAATGAGGATTTCATAAATATAGTTTAATATCCGTTAAAACTAAAGTTATCCATCTGCAATTATGCACTGTTACATCTGACCTAATTGTCAATATGATTTCATATTGTGCTTCGAACATTTGCAGATTTATAAAAAATACCCAGGTACATATACTTAAACTCGGTACATATACCATTATTGCATCATATAGACCGTCCCTTGCCAGGTTACCTTCATGGCCACGACATCGGCATGACCGAAGGAGAGGAACGGTGGATCACTTTCGGCGCCAAGTTTTTTTTTCAAATTTATGAAATTAGCACTGGAGCAACCAAAAATCTGACTGGCCAATACATATTTACATATGTATGTCTATGTATTTACATAAATAAATCCGTATGTCTTTATGATAACCATGCAAAATGAATTTAGGTATGCACATCTGGGAAAATTTTTACATACTATTTCAAATAATACAAAATCGTAATAGTAAATTTTAACCAATTTATTTCGCTTAATTCAATTCATAATAATTCCAAATTTCTGCCAAATTAAGTTGTTCAAGTAATTTTTTCCAATATTTGTATCACATTTATTTCCTTCCCCCAACTGGAAGGCCTCCTGGAAGCTGGACACCTCCTAAATTATGGTAAAAAGCTAATTAACCAAGGTTTACGAATTTTCAAAATAATTCATATCCATATTTTTTACCTGGAAGTGTTCCATTTCCACCAATTGGCAAGTTGCCCATGTCTGGTATCGAGCCGTTCACTGTGAAGAAAAAAAATATTATTTTCACCGTTTTTAGCAATAAATCCAAAATCGTGTACCGGGAACATTGGGAACAGTGCCATTTGCAACACCACCCGGCATGGGTGGGACGCTTCCGGGAACGGTACCATTTGCAACTCCTGGTACTGGTGGAACACCGGCAGGAATCGTGCCGTTAGCGACACCCGGAACGGGCGGAATTTCCTGGATAATTGATAAAAAATTCAATTTTTGCAAAAAATATGTGCAAAAAAAAATAATAATTTTGCACACCAAAATTTGTGAAAAAATAATTCTCACCTGGGGATAGGCAAACACCACGAAAAGTATTCCGCTCAATGCGACAGCAATTGCGAGAACTCGATCCATTTTGAAATTGATTTTTGTTTTTTAGGAAATGTGAAGGATTTTTGGTTTGATTTGATTTTTAAATAATTTTTGATTTTTGGTTTGATTTTTGGATTTTTCCTGTACTCCGAGAGGCTATGGATGATGAGAGGATGATATTTATGATATCGTTTTCATGGAAAATCCATTGTTTTTATACTCGTAAGAAATTAAGTAATTCATGAAATCGGGAAGAATTGCATTGTCTTGGCTGTCAAATTGGTCCCAATTTTGGAAAGAGAGTCGCTCAAGCGGTATGAGTTGAATGGATATTTGGAGTTGATTTACGCAATTTTGTCATTTCATTGTGTATTTATACATATGTAGATGTTTATTGTAAATATGTTTCTCCTTGGCCAGGTCATGTCACGCAGAATTTTTGGAGTATGTCCTTTTTTGTACAATTATTGAATGCAACTTTAATACACGTTTGCACATTTGTATGTATAACTTATTCATTACAATAGGTACAATCTGTGCCATTTTGTAAATTTAGGTTACGTACATATTTACATACATATTTAATATGTATGTATATACTACATACATACGTATTTTAGGGGAAAATTTTGCATACACAGTAGGGACATATGTACACATGTATGTATTTTTATGTGTATACATGTATATATTTTTATCCATCTTTATATGACCTAAATATACGTTTGCATATAAAACAGAGTATTTAAGAATCAGAGAGTTTGCGAGAAGACACTCGCAAAATTTCCATTAACAAATTTCCGTAGGTATACATATATGTATGAGTTCATAGAGATGAAAAACATCAGGGATTATGCCAAAATTCTGGGTGTATTCCAAATTTTTCAAATTTTGAACTTGGTTTTGAAATTATTTTTATAAAATATGTAGTTTTAGTCGGAATCTACATGATGACATTACTACCCTATGGGTGATACATAAATAGATTCTCAACGATTTTTTCAACCTTTTTTAAGTTTATCACATTTATGCAAAATAAAATAAAAAATAAGTATTTTTTAAATTTATTAAATTAATTAACCCATGTGTGTCATATATTGACATCTTATATTAAGAATGCTGGAAGCAGTCAATACAATCACTTAAATTACATACAGATTAATTTAATTATTGCTAAATAACATATAATTCGTCCGGCACGTTATAAAACATGATTTTGTCAATGGCTATGACATACCCTCAAAGTAACGTGGTAACAAATGTTACTATGCAGAGTCCCTAGACTCTTCGACCGCACTGGTAACAATATTTTTTTAGGAAATTCAAATTTATTAGCTTTGGGCGAGAAATTTTATACGAACGATTAATAACTTTTAGTTTCGTGAAAAATATTATTATTAATCAGTGGCAAATTATAACCAGCATGGAGGAGACACATAGTTACTCCACATAGTTACTCCACAGAGTTGAGATTTAATACCACGTAGTTTTGAGTTTTTCATAGCGGAACACCCAATTACGGTTGGGAACAATTTGTAAAATAATGAAACAAATAGTAGTACAATAGTTTTGTTGGATTACTTAAAACATAAAACTAAATGCTGACACGGCATAAACTTGTGTTGGATTGTCTGCAAATTTGGCAACTATCTGCACCTTATCAACTTGCGCATTCTTATCCCAGTATTGCGGTATAATTGACGTATTATCATAACCAAAACTATCTATCATCTTCCCCTTATTGTTAATTTCATGCCACATAACATTCTCCAGTTTGGCGTGGATATTGTTACGATTTGTGAGGAAAATGCTGAATTTCAAAGTGGTGGGGGTCCTGTTGTGATTTCTTTTTTCGAAGTGAAGTCGCTCCAACATCTTATCTACGTAGAGTTCCAGGATTTCGGTCATGTATTGCGTCCGTGTGAAAGTGTGCCCTGTTGAGGTAAGAAATAGTTAAAATATCAACTCTTGAAATAAAACGTAATTGCTGTGCATGTTGCCCCTAAAAGATTTATTTAATGGGCAAATTACACAATATTTTTTTTATTAAATTAAAATCCGAACGACTTAAAAATCCTATTGAAAGATGGAAATTCCAATGATGTTTTCTGTTGCTTTACAATCTATTAAAAATGGTCAAACTCTTTCCACTGTTAATTTTGGAAATCAATATTTTTTAGCGACTTGTAAAATTTGCGAGGGCACTGGATTCTAACCAATGCAAATAAGGAAACTCCTCGTCCAAATTTGTTACCTTGACATTTAACCCGTTCTTTTATACCACCCTGTAATTTTGTACTTATGATTTTTAGTTTTTTTTTGCTTACCATAAAACTGATGCGAAACTGTAGCCGTACTAGCGTATTTTATCGGAACAACTTCATCGTCGCAAAGACCGTAGGCCTTGTTCAAAATCACTGTTGCTTTCTCATACCCGATCCAATTTCCGTTAAACGTCACCGTCTTCGCGAGACGAACATGTCTCACGTTTTGTAAGTCGAGCATAGTTTCCACCCCGAATTTGTGCTTAATCACGTCTCCCAATTTACCTCCTAGTCCCGAAATTCCTTCGATCTTCACAAATTCTGCAAATTGTTGCAATCCCGTTGGAGCTAGAATAGTTATGGACCCCGGTTTGTGGAGGGCACTTCCGATCTTGGCGATAGATTTGTTGCATCCAATTCCAATAGATGACTGATAATTAGTGGCTTGCAAAATTTTCTTGATAATCCTCGCTCCGATAAGAGACCCATAGATTAGGCGAACTTCTTGACTACAGTTTTCCCAGTATTTTAGATCCTGCAGGCGTTCAAGGACATAATTGAGCTAATCATGAGCTCGGTTTTCCATCGATTTCTCCATTATAAAGGAAAGTCTGTGGCCAAAGGTGATTCTCCTTAACTTGGTGGACCAGGTTATCATACCCATAGCGTTCCTCCATGCTATCGATGTACGCTGTAATATCGATGTACGACTCGTCCGGGGATGAGTATTGAAAAACTGGAGGGGGATTCAAACTCTGGAGAACGGAATCGACCGCGAGACGTATCTTGTAACTGGCTTCTTTCAGCTTGATGTCGGCATCTTGCGGTTGCTGGATTAGGATGAGATTGCGACAAATTTTCAAAGCGTCCTGGGCACGGGGTGTGGCGTCACGGTTGATTCCCAGTTTTTTAGCTTCATAGCTGACCGCGGTGATTCTGCGGGAGTTATTGCAAATTTGTAAATATTCAGCCAGAAAATATGTACTGTGGTCAAGAATACTTAGTATAACGAAGGTAATAATTTTGCAGTGAATATTTTCACAAAATCGTGTAGTTGTAATTCATTCGGAAGGCATTAAATACTAAAAAAACTACTTGCAAAAACTTTATTCTTTTTTATGCAAATTTAATACAAATTAGAAAAATTTGACTGAAAAATTTCTGCTCAGCTAAACTGACCACTCTGTATGTAAATAGCACAGCATGTATGGTCCTTACAGGCCGGCGTAGTTTACGACGACTCGGGGAAATCCTCGTTGGTGATACGCTTCAAAGACTTGGACCTCGAACTGGTCCATATCTTCTAGAAGGATGACCCGGGGGTCGCGGGCAGTAGTATAGTTGCACGTCCTAAAGTCCACGTTTCCTACAACAATGAAAATAATAAAATAACGAATTAATGAAAAAACTGAGTTCAAACACTGAGTCATTTTAAATGCGGATAGTATTAATTGTACAGACTGGTCATAAAATAGTTTAGTAAACTAAATTTTGTAAACCAATCTTTGCTTATTTGGTTCCAATAGCTACGAGGAAATTGTACGGCAAATGCCAAAGGTTTTACAAATATAATTTTTGGTTTGATATCGCACCCAAATTTCCGAGTTTTCAATGCACATTAAATAATTGTAAGGTGGGGAGCAAAAATTTACTGAAAAGATTTCTGCTTTGTTAAACTACTCCTTTGAACATAACGGATATTATGTGACAGATATGTTTAATTAATTTGTAAATTAATTTTTTGACTTACCAGCAGCCATTTTAAAGGGATTTATTCTTATAGGAATGAGTTCTTTTCTAGAAATTGTACTTGCCTAGCTGCGCCTGAATAGAATTCGTCATCATGTGTTCAATAATTTAATTTGTGTTTTCTTTTTTAACAATATTATTGTAGATTTATGTACCTCAAACTTTTATACAAACTTATGTATGTACAATGTACACTTGTAGAAGTTGGTTGAAGTGAAATATTTTATATGTAAAACGTGATTTAAAAATAATTATCAATGTTTACGATGTAATTATGTTTATGTACATATTGTTTTTATAAACTTATGTAATGTTGGCTACATAAATGCAAGGAAAACGTTTTACTAAAAAAGTGAAGGTTGGTTACTGACCCAGCTGTAATGTAGTCATAAGGGAACTTTCACAACATACGTAGCGTAAGAAGGGGGAGGTTTATATGGTGTGAGGTCTGCTATCTCATGTTAAAATTCCTATCCATGTAGTGTACAGGGGTGGGACACGGTACAGACATATTCCGTTACATATTTTATGAACGTTCCCTAATATAGAAAGTTACATGCGTTGAAATGTGTTTCAAGCTTATATACCCGACTCGAACGTAAATTTGGGTCTACCACCATATCGTAAGTAGTGGTGGAACTCGTTGTTTTTTTTCTTTTAGTAACAGTTAAGACAATAGCGTCGTATTAAAGATGATTTTTTAGCATGGACAATTTCTTGACCGTACGTACAAAATATAAGAATATGAAACATCAAAATTAAATAAATTCAGCTAATATTTAGTTAATTTTCATACCTTAATGAAAGCCTTTTATATCCTTCAATGTGCACATGTAAATAAACTAAACCATAAAGACGGATATCACAGGTTTGTCTTGATGTGCGATTAAAAGAATTAAATAAATTCCACCTACATAATGGAGGTCCACTATTATCAGCATCGCCGTCCTCTGAATATTTGCTTATTAGATGCGTAAATGTTGAGATGTTTAGAGTATGAATTGTATAACAAATCTGCGGCCATTTCAAAATTAGAAGTAATTTGCTTGTTGTGCACAAATGATAATATGAAATGAAATACTTGATGTGGCAAGAAAATGGTGAAATTTATCATCATGTGTTATCAAAATCTGTCGGAAAATTTCAAATTTAGAAAATCTTGTTAATTTCATTAAGTATAAGTACATATGTATAAGTATGTATGCGCACCTCTCACCATAGGAAAACAACCTATTGTGTATCGAATCTACATATTTAATCACCACTAAGCGAATTTGTAGAATGCATTTGGCGAGAATTTCGCAGTCTCCGTATTAGTTTTTATTGAAGGTTTAACCTAAAATTTTTAACACCTTCCATACACATCGATAGTTACGTATATAGTTTTAAATTCTAACAAATTTTAAATCAGATCAACTTCTTACTTTGCTGGGCTTCGGAATGACTGAATATCACATTAATGAGATTTCACATTGAAAAATACGTATATAAACACATTTTTGACCTTAGAACACAACGCACATACATGTGTACGTACATGCTTGAAGTAGAGCATGTTTATATATGTTCCATGTTTGCGATCTCTTCTCCAAATATGCATTACCGCATCAGGAGGAACTTACTCTTACACTTGTATCGTGAATACCTTAATTGCTAAGATGAATTATGTTGAACCAAAATTCAGTGTTGTTTAATTACTCTTAAAAGTAATTGAATTACAATTACAATTACATTGATTATAAGTAATTAAAATTCAATTACATTTTCAACTACTTTCTAAAGTTCAATTACTAATTACAAGTACTTTCAACTACTTTTCAATTACTTTTCAATTACTTTTCAATTACTTTTTTCCTGTGTGAAAAACAAGAAATTTAGACAATTGTGAAAAATAAATTTCCAGTTAGCATTTATTAAAGCAACATTACTAATCTCTAGATTTCTTTTGACAACACAGAATTACATTTCAAAATTGCAAGTGCAAAAAAATGTTTCGTTTTCAAAAAATGAAATTGGGATTATTCCATCCACAAGCAACTTCACGGTTGACCGTATCAATTTTTCTGCCGCACCACTTGTTTGTCCAATCTTGTAAATATCCAATGGCCCAGTCTGTCGGGATTTTGCCTGATTTTCGACACTCTTCTTGCCATTTTTATTGGAGTAATCCATGTACACCTTCTGCTTCTCAGGGTGTTTTCTCTAAATCCATTCTCTTCACTCAAAAGATATTTGAGATTAGACGGAAGAGATTCCATTTTGAAAAAAATAACGAGAATAATGAACAATGCACGTAAGTATAGTTAGTGCTCAATTTGTGTACTCCGCCGTTTATGAGGAAAGTCGATTTTTCTGTACGTACACTTCGGTTTTTGAAAAGTAGTTGAAATGTAATTGAAATGTAATTGAATGTAGTTGGCTATCTCCAACATGAAGGAAAGTAATTGAATTACTTTATTCAACTACTTTGGAAAAGTAGTTAAATCTTAATTACAATTACTTTTTTCAAAAAAATGTAATTAACTACTAATTAATTACATTTTGTAGTTAATTACTACAACACTGCCAAAATTTCGGGAGTTATAGGCATTTGTTCTATTTACAAAAATGTGCGAGGCGACAATCTGCATTTGCGCATGTACATATTTACATACGACAGAACTTACGTATGTACAGATGTACTGGAGAACCACCATGTAAAAGTGATAACAAGGAGGGAGTAAAAATATGTTCCAACATATTCAGTTTTTGATAATGCTCAGTTGATAATTTAACCAGACAAGAAACAAAATGTACTCCAGAAATGTAAATGTGCCTAACTAGGTATCCTTTTTTCGTGTTAGTCGAAATATGAGTTCTAATTTAACTTTTTGAACACATCATGATGTATTTTGATGGCAAAGTGCAAAAACCTTTTCTGCAAAACCCATTTGCGAATTTTTTATCAGCCCTCAAAGATTGCAAGATGGGTGGGTAGTAGTTGAAGTGTTCAACCAAACTTGGCGCGTCTGTCCACCACCACGACAGACTTGCAAGTTGGGTTGAAGGACAAGCCTTTGTTTAAAACGCCCAAAAGTTGATATGGGACTAGTACCAGATCTGGTACCGGCCCCTTATTCATAAAGAACGTCGCCAATTTGGGAAAAAATTTTTGCATCATAGTAAAATAACTGTCTTAGCTGTTTTAGACGTTATTTGAGACGGGGATTTCAGAAATGACATCCATTTCGACATACGGTGACCGTGTGACCTAGTAAACGAGGTCAAAGGTCACACATGTCGAAATTTTTGTTTTTACTGTTTTAAACGTTATTTGAGACGGGGATTTAAGAAATGACATCCGTTTCGACATGGGGTGACCGTGTGACCTAGTAACCGAGGACAAAGTCGAAAATGTCGAAATTTTTGTTTGTCAGCAGTTCCACACTTCTGATTTTATTATTTAAACTTTCGTAGGGCGTGTGATACTTGGTATGGACTTTCCCTTTAGTAATTTGCATCAACTCTAAGGTCCCCATGCTTTGATAAAATTATTTAAAAATCAGGACAATAAAAAATATTGTCCATGCTATACTCTTGACTTAGAATCGAAATTATCTGTCTGCTCTTCACGAAAATTGTTGTAATCTCATGCAATATGAAAACTACTAAAGAGATGGGCATGATTTTGTTGTGATACAAAAGAAACTGTCAAGCCTGAAGTTATCAAATGCACTACAATGACTGAATGACCCGTCTACAGTGATTTTGAGCAACTATTTTAGGTGCTCACGTGCAATGTATTTTAACGCAATTTTCTACTTTCGCATGGGGTCACATTGTTGGTAACTATTTTATTTGCTGCAGCTAATTAAATTCCATCTTTCAACATTAGGTCTTGCTAAGCAATGATAAAAAATTGAAAATGTAATATTTATTTACCCGAGGAAACATAAATGTTTAGCTTTTATTAAAGTCAACATGGTAATCAGAAATGTTGTACAAATATTTTCGTCTTCACACTTAACAATTATTAAGCTTCCTGAATAATGTCACATGTAAATGTAGATTCAATCAATGTCTCAAAAACTAATCATGTAAATTAAAAATATGCAACTTATTACGTAATAAATCTAATCAAATTTTAGAAATTTCAACTTATTCATTTTCAACTCATTCATACACAAAAATTTAAACCTCTTGGTTTATTTCCTGCGTGACAGATAGGGATGTCCCGTCATGACATGTCATTGACAAATTGACATATTGACATGTCATAAATGTCCAATTTGTCCGACATTTAAAATTTGTGACAAATACGACAAATATGACAAATATGACAAATTCAATTTGTCATAAATGTCCAATTTGTCCGACATTTAAATACTTGTCAAATCGAATATGTCATAAAAATATTTGTCAATAAACATGACATTTATTGCCATCAACATTGCAAAGTCTCATTATGAGACTAAAATGGTGGGCGGTTTGACTACGCCGTTTAGTTTATGAATCAAGCTGAGTCAGCATAGAAACATTCACAAAGACAATTATTTAATTGCTGGTGTAGTAACTTACCCTCATCATCTTAACTACTTACTAACGGGTAAGCAAATTGCATTTTGTTAAGTTGTAGGAGAGTTGGCCGTAATAAAGGCATTCTGCTCCTGGGACTTGAAGTATCATATATTAGTCCTACAGTATATGTTCATCATTTCAACAGGCACAATATGGGAAAGCCCAAGGACAACATTTGGCAACAATGGACTGATTGTGGTGACAATAAAGTAGAATGTCGAAATTGCAAAAAACATAAAATTGAAAAACATGCAACAAGGTGCAGATTACACACTTCTTTGTGCTCTTCCACACCAAAGAGAATCCGAGAAATTTTTACCGAAAAAGTCAAATCATTGCAGCAGCTTCGGAAACAAAAACCAAGTGGATGGACAGGCAGGATCATGGAAGAAGGGGATGTCGCAATCGTTGAAGATCATAGCAGGGATTTTGATGTGGAGGAAATCAATCAGGCGGGGGTTGCGGTAAGCTCAACCTCGGTTGCAGTATTCCCAACCCCTTCGCCATCAGGGGGAACGTCATCTTCGGCGATAAATTCGGTTTTAACTGGAAGAATTAATAGAATTTCGAGTTCAAAAATGAAGGAGTTACAACTTCTTTGGGCCAAGGCTATAATTAGCGGGAACGTTGCTTTTGAATGGACCCAAAACCCATTTCTTCAAAACTTTTTTGCCAATCTGGGATCTGGTTTTCTTCTGCCATCGCGGAAAGAAATAAGCGGATCTATTCTTAAAATATTGGATGTGGAAAGCAAGGAGAAAAGGAAAATTTGCATTGATAACCAAAAGTGCTTCAGTTTGGTCCCCGACGGATGGACAAATATTTGTGGTCTTTCAGTGATTAATATAATGCTGGTTAATCCGATTAAATGCATCCTTTGGGATAGCTTTCAGACAGGTAATTTATTATTATTTGCACTTCACGACAAAATAGAATAAGGGTCTACTGTTGTCAGATTGACAAAGTTTACCGCTTTTTCTAATTTAGGGGAGGAGAAGGAAACCGGAATCTACATACAGGGAAATTTGGAAAAAGCAATTAATAAAATTGAAGAGACCTACGGACGCCACAAGATAGTTGCCGTTGTTAGTGATCAAGGATCCAACTTCTTATTTGCGCGAAACGCAATCGCTCGCACATCCAGCATACTCTCTATCAATTGCGCAGCACATATGCTAAATTTACTTGCTAGTGATGTTGGGAAGTTACCTAGTATTCAAAAATTCGTTACGCGATGCAAAAATGTAGTGAAGGAGTGATGATCAAATCATCAAAGCGTAGACTTGGTGAATACAACGCCGAATTCGAAAGATATATTTCGGAAGAAAAGGACAAAGGAAACAACCCTTCTTCGTTGGTGTCATTAAGTATTCCGTCCCCAACCCGGTGGTTTGGAATTCGAGATATGCTATATAAATTGGATCGAGCAAAGCCGGTGTTAATGAGATTGTCGATCAAAGATGACACTGATATTAGTTTCGGAACTAAGAAGACGCTACGTGATGAAGCGTTTTGGAGCAAACTCTTAAGTGTTCGCCCTTTGTTTTTGGCAATAACAGATGGTAATACAATTTATTTCAACATGAGTTTACTACTGAATTAGAGTTTACTGCTAAATTAGAGTTTACTGCTAAATTAGAGTTTGCTGCTAAAATGTTGCTCTAATCAATTTATTTTTTTAGCTATCGCAATAGTGGAATCAAATGCAAGTTGTATTTCTGACGTGGTGGAGGAATTTGAGAAACTGCGACAAATTTTTCAGCCTGCTGGACATAATCACAATATGCTTAAAGAGGCTGTGAACCTATCCGAAATTAGAATTTGTATAAAATCTTTCGAGAAACGAAGCACTGACGATAGGATAACCTCGATTCACTATCTGGCAAACCTTTTGGATCCACGCTACCGCGGCAGGACATTTAAGGATGATGAGCATCGTTTGGTGCTTACACTGGAAGAGTTACAGACATATGCCGAGTCGCTAGGAGTTATTCCAACCGAGAGTTTAAAAGAAGAGCTAGGAAATCAAATAACAAATTTTCGGATGAAGGAAGGACTATTTAACTCAACAATGTTGAGCCATCGGTTGCCATTCAAATATTGGGACAACATGCGTCAATTTCAGTCAACATCGTTATTGGCAGGTATCGCTGTTCGACTATTGTCGATTCCAGCTTCGAGTGCAGCGGTCGAAAGAAGCTTCTCAAGGCAAGGAAATGTTCACACGAAAACTAGAAATATATTGACCCACGAAAATGTGAACAGATTAATGTGCATAAAATGGAACTTGAACGATGATTTAGAATTAGGACGGGACAGTAGTAAATTAGAATCAGAGTTAGTTGAATGTGTTGACGATAATGAGTGCGACCAGGATATTGACGAATTGATTTATTTGGACACCCCATTTAATGATGATGAATTGTTGGCAAAATAAATTTTAAATTACTGAGCAGTATGCCCTTATGCGGTCGACTCTCAAAGTTTGAATAATTTGTTGTGCAATGAAATGATAAATAAAAATTTATTAAGCAAAACGTTCTTGACATGACTTCTGTTATTCTTTATTCGAACTTAAAATATTCATTTATTTTTAATTTTTTTCTGGAAAATGGGTTGGGAATCACGGGAATATCATTGTATAACACATTAACATTATGCCTTGACTCGCAGTTACCAACGTCATCTTGTAATTTCACTCGTTTATAAACATTGAATAAATCCATTGTGATCTGGGCGTCTTGAAGTGAGGTGTGTTTTGATTGTTGCTGTGTTTGTAAGTAATATGCCGAAAGTGATTTTAAACTGTGACCTTCTCGTATGTAGACACCGTCCCTGTTTGGCTTAAATGTGTAGAAATGACTTTGTAGTTCGAATATGTCAAAATCAGCCATGTCCAACCCAAGAGCTCGAAAATCACTTTCTCCCCCAATTGTTATAACTAACTTGTCCTTCAATAGTTCGCTAACTTGACGCTTGACCTCGTCTTCGGATGGGAAATTGAGATTTGCCAGTGAATTTTGATAAAATGAAGCTACAAAATTATCTTGAAACGATCCTGGTTCATGGAAAACTTTGCAGGAGTAAATACTTTCTTTCTTGAAATTGACGATGTCCACAGATGCCACGTGCTGTTTATATATTCTATTTGGCGAATGTTTTGGTTTGGTTACCATTTCTGTATCGATTGATACAATATCCTGTTCTTCATACTCCTCCCACCATGGTTTGCACCCTTTACTCGTACTCCCCCCATCCACAGGTGGGCTTGCTGCATCTGATAAAGATGAGTTTACCGCACCTGTGGATGGAGTTTCCGTTTCATCAATTTTAGTTTTCTTTGCCTGCAGAATTAAAATTATATAATATTAACATAAAGGAAATATGGTATTTTGATCTTAACTGTGTGATAAATGCATGAGATTACCAATCGCTCTTCCCTAAAATTTCGCCGTCTTTTAATTTGTACCATTTTCTTTATCCTCTTCAGTTCATCCGTCGTGCATAGACCAAAATATGATTTAAGAAATTCAAGTCGCTCTGAGGGTTTCCCTTCCGGAACGGCAGCAGCCCAGTCTAAAGTTAGTTGCTGAAAGGAACAATTCGAAATTAAATAAATTCAACTTCTCACAGTAGTTTCGACTATTTATGTTGCAAAAATGTGATTATATTCGAAAATTTCGACAATTTACCTTAAAATCCGCAACATCTTCACTCAACTCCATGTCGAATTTTAAAATAATGATTGACAAATTTGCCAATCAATTAATTATTTATGATTAATTTTCAACTTAAATCAGCTTAAATATGTATTTTTTATGTCGGTATGTGGTATCTACACCAAAATCCCTCTTGTTTTGGGAATAATGAGACGGAATACGGTTTGTTGAATTTGTCCGTCATATTTGTCCAATTTGTCCAATTTGTCCGTCATATTTGTCCAATTTGTCCAATTTGTCCGTCATATTTGTCATAAATGTCGGACAAATTGGAATCTTGACAAATTGGACGGACAAATTGACAAATATGACATATATGACATATATGACAAATATGACACATATTCTCTTGACACGGACATTTTCCATCCTTAGTGACAGATGATCGTACTTCTGTACGATAGCGTTGTGCTGCATCAAGTCTGCTGGCGAACAGCGCAATCTTTTTCTTATATTTCGCTACATCGTCAACGAAGTACATTCCATAATCAAAATTCTTAAGCCTAGGATGGAATCTTTTTCCTAACCTAACTAGATTCTTATTTTTAACAAGAATTTCAATCGCTGCTGGTATGTCCACCTTCCATTTTGCATATCTAGCATGATGCTCCTCATGGTCCCCGTCCAACTCGGTCAGAAGATTCTCCCATTCACGCCTCAAGTCCCACAGGATTTGGAATGACTTGCTTCTCCGGATCACTGCTTTTAAGGAAACGTTCCCATATTGCAGTAACGACATCGATTTGATGTCGTTACTGCAAGAAGACAGAATTATGAGTCCCAAATTTTAACACGAAATGTTCTCATATTAATTTTCAACCTGTTTAGAAACTCGTGAAATAAGTCCATAGCAAGGTTTGTGTTCGGTTTACCTGCGACGTTATAATTTTTATCATATTTTACTTAATGGTCAAATATTTAGTGTTCAGTACCACTGATATTCACTGTAGCATTGTACAGCAAGTCAAACCTGGCGTTTGGAGATGACCATCCGGCCTTCTGAGCTTGCCACATGTGGCAAACTCTAAAAAACTAAAATACATACGCAGTTTTAGTACTACTTCTCTTTCTCCGACTGCTTTCTTCTTAAATTTTGATTATGATGCTAACCTTCGGGTGATTTAGCTTTTCAAATTCGATTAAATGCAGCTTGCTATACCCATTCATTCTATCCCCATCGCCAACACGGATGCTGTCGCGGTAGCCAGAAAAGTGTAACCACACATTTATGAACGATTTTGAATATAAGAAAACTTTATCCAAACATTCCAACTCGCAGTTCTCGCAACAATAGTAGGGTGACTTTTCCGGATTTGGTGGAGGACGTCGGTACTTAACATTACTCTGGGTATTGAGACAGTCCACGTGGTACCAAAGCTCATGTCTACAATATTATACACTACGTATTGCAATATTTCATATTTAAAAAACCTGGACATTTAAATTATTAACATTCCACTTACGGACATCGATTATTGTCACATGCTACGTATGCTCTTTGATCATTTTCATCGAACTCGGAGTGACAAAAACAAAACCTATATCTTTCATTCAGAACTCGGAATTTTTAATAATTTGCAGAGCGATATCTTACTGCTGCTGTGAAGTGTTTCTTGTAACGTCCATCCATTCCATTTGGATTATAGAGTCAACAACGTCTTCGAGCCATGCGATTTTTTGCACATCTCTAACGTCATTCATATCATCATCCATTGATGAGAATAATTCTAGCTTCTCAACAGCTGCGGTACATATATAGGCAGCCAAACAAAAATCCAGAAAACGTATTGCTAGCAGATAATTTTTCTTAACGTCCATCAGTTTCTAGGTAAAGTTTAGCCTGAATAATGCCTATTGCGGTTTTATTAAGACCTGATTCGATCACCTCCGACGGCTTGATGGCTAAAAAGTTAAAAAAATTTTAAATTTGATGTAGTTACATCACGAATGTATGCTTACAATTCTAGGTTATTTAATTTTTATTATATATGATGTGCTGTTAATTTTTCTTGTGTTGAATTCAACTTACTTGACCGATTTTTCACTATAAAAGTACCGGTTGGCACCTCGGTCTGGGTTGACTGAATCGCAAGCCCAGCATTACACAGGTCCGCGTCCCATTGGGGGCCCCACCCACGAAAGCGGTCGCAGGGGGGGCACCCTGGAAGGGTAGTACAGAAAATTCCCATTGTTGTAGAGTTTGTAAGTTGTGAGTTCAATGATTGCGATTATGTAAATGGTGGGTTTGGCATGGAATATTTAAGTTTGTGTCAGGCAAATCTAGTCCTGTAGTGATAAGTCGGCACAAAATTAGTTAAAAAGGGAGTTGCAACACTACAAGATATGTACCTTAACACATCTTAAATAAGATCACTGGGAAAGGGTCAAGGGAAGAGAACACTTTCGGGAAGAGTCAAATATTCATATCGAGCAATATGAAAACTACATGCACGATGAGAATCTTCTACGCAGTGAACAAAGAAAAGATGATGGCAGGCTAATAGTGTAATATTGCCAATCTCATTTGGAACCAACTTGTTACATACCGCGATATTTAAGAAACAAAAGTGAAAGTTAAAATAAAAATTCAAATGACGAAGAAAAATTTGTTTAACTAAAGCAACTAACAAAATTGCCCCATTTTTTCAGTTTTAAAAATATATTGAAAGAGCAATTAAATAATTTACACTCTATTTAGGGACCAGAAATTGCACTGCAAAGGCATAACCAGGAACAAATCCATGGTTCTAGTGGAATAAATTATCAAGTAAAACCTGGAATTGAGGTTGGAGAGGCTGGATACCGCGAGAATTATACCGTTACAACAACCGGAAGTGATGGAAAATTAGTAATAGAAGAAGTTTCCATTATGGGAAAATTGGAGACCCGAAAGTTAAATCATCAGATTCTGTCTTGTGTCCTTAAATCGAAGATGTTTGTATAACTAGCGGTGACAATTTCAAATTGATATTTAAATCCAAAATTTGTTAATGACAAGGTTTGATTATTACTGCTAATGATTACTAGTTTCTCAATGAAAGCATTTATGGAAGATATTAATGAATGCAGAATTTTAGCACAAAATACAAAATTAATACAAATAAGTTAATAAATTAATAAGCTTATTAAAATGCGAAGGCAAAATTATGTACTCAACTTAATCTTAGTGAAAGTGTTATAAACCGTGCATACTTTCTACTGTCGAATTTAAAATATGAATCCGAATTGTTTGAAACATTTGATCATTATTTGTAATGTAATTATGCTATTAGAAAATTTAGGAAAGGGAAAATTCATATATATTAATAAGTAGTATGCACCACAGTTGTTTCAACCTTATCGATTTAGAGGCATGCGCATGGTCATTTGTTCACAAATCGACATTAATTTTATTTTTAAATTCGATCTTTGATTCATTTATTCGTATTTAACTAATGTACGAGTATAATATTATAATATAATTAATATGTGCCATTTTAGAACATGATTTCCCGTTGTATATGTTTTAAAATCATATTCCACAAATTTTGCATCAAAATGTCATTTTTGTATATTTTCCATTTTGGCGACGATCTTAGAGAATGGCCCCCCTCATAAACAAAACCGTGGGGCGTAGTTTAGCCTGTCTTGTCTACCAACCCTACTATCATCCGGATAGTAGGGTTTGTCTCACAAACTAGGTGGGTAGTGAAGCAGATGTCACAGTGAGAATCACGTT